AAAGTATTTTTTGGTGGTCTTTTTCCTCAGATGATGAAGAATTTCGAGAAAAGTTTCGGTGTAGTTTGTGTGGTAGATTCATAATTTAACGAAAATGACCTACTTGTTTGATGAAAGTTATGAAGAGTTGCATAACAACTACAAATTATGATGATTTTGTTTTTCACCCCAAAGCCACAAGCCGTATCGATTTTCTTACAACATGCTCAATAGGTCTCTCGTAATTTCCTCCTCTCAAAATGGAGCTTGCTCGAGAGGGCGAGGGTTATTAGCCTTGATCAAACGTCGAATTATTAGGTTTTTTTTAGAAGTTCGAAAATTCAAACTTTCAATAAAATAGACATGTCACATTGTGACAGTTGGGTGGTAGATTAACTGAATTTTATAACAAATTTATTGCCTAACGGGACCCATAAACAAATGTAAAATTGACGCGTCCTAACTTTATCGTTTGTTTGATAAAACTTTTGCCGTTAAAAAATTTCACCACACATTTTATAGGATGCAACAATTTTTAACCGCGTCACATCACACGAACTGTTAATGTGGTTATGAAATTTATCACAAAGTTATAAGCATGAGATCAGAACATTCAGTTGATACATTAAACTGAGAACCAGTTCAATTATTACATGTAGAAGGCCCAGAAATTAAGAATTCCTTGAACTTATCTCACGTCTCTAAAATTGAACGTTTCAACTTTCAACATAAAACAGTCAAATTCACCCCTAATTTTGTGTGTGTTTTTTTTACTATAATTGTGTTACCACTTGTTCGAAAGGTCTTCTCCACTATTTGACTGGAATTATTCTCATATCCTTTCAATGCAAACGTCAAGCTATTCTGGTCGTTTCTCAGAGAAAAAATAATAATAAAGTCATTATTAATTTGAACTATGTAACCCATTCTTACTATCTCACATGCAAACCTTCACGAGGAGACAGCACGGGGACCCAAGTCAACCTGTTGCTGTTACCCACAGGCTACAATAATATTCTCTCTCATAACCCCTTTTGACTTCAACAAGAATATGAATATATGATCCTTCGATGTGGTCGAGTTGGTGGAACAGGTGAACGCGAAGATCAATTACGAGTTCGAATCTCCTGTCAACACTTTCTCGGTCGAACCCGTCGCACTAGACTTGCCTAGTGCGATTTATCTCTCACGTGTGATTTGGAGCTACTGTACAAAGAACGAGATTTACCTAGTGCCCACTCATAGTGATCAGGTTTCAACCTCTTCGGGGTGATTGAGACTCCGCTAGGGGAAGCGACTTTAAGTTCCTACGTCAAATTTTAAACAGATTAATAGTACAAATGTGGCATCGAGAGTGAACCACCCAAAATATACCATCTTAGGATATGTGTATATGTCTGTCATTAAAATGTATCATCAAGCGCATTAGGAGTGACATTTTCATTTTTTGCACACGAACAACGTATAGCTGCGGTTAAGCTGTGCTTTATTAGTCGATTTTCTGTTTAAAAAAAAAAAAAGGGTTAAAAAATTACCTTTTTACTGCTAATAAAGAAGTAATTTGTCAAAAATTTGATAAAATGATTAACTTGGAAGTAAATTAGTTAACAGCTTCTCTTCATAGAATGATGCTGAAAAACAGAGCTACAACCATCCATAGATGGTATTACACCCCCAGAATATTAACAGATCTATCTCTTTTACCCTCCAACATTTTCCTAAACCATGAAAATAAATAAATTGAGAAGCGAATTAATTAATCACATAACTTTCCAAGACTCAAGGGTGGGAAAGCTACAAAAAGAGTCAAAGCTAAAACCAGTTGCGCCACTGTCAGCAAGCACCGTGGGCGGCTGAGGTTCATTAATTACTGGCGGCTGAAACACTTGCTGGTCCAGCAGGAAAGATGAAGTGTCAAGGGTGGGCAAGGTAAAACCGGTTTGAAACATGCTGAGTGGCCTCTGCTGATCGGGCTTCAACTCCGGCGAAAACGGAATCAGTTCATTCAATTCGCTGCCGAATCTTACGCCGGTCACCTGCTGCACCATTTGCCTGAAATTCGCCGGATCCGCAGTAATAAACGTCGTCGTTGCGCGCTTCTTTGCACGAGATTTACGTTTGGTTATTTTCCCAGTCACCCCAACGTTCCGGCGTTTGGAAAACGGAACTTCATTTTCTGAACAGCCGGAAGGTGTAGGTGTTTGAGACGACGTAGTTTCCGGTTTCAACAGCAAAGAGTCCGTCATTTCGGTCGATGTGCAGTCGGTTGGTGAGGAATTTGTAAACGATTTCGTTAAAGCTCTTGTTAGCGTCTCTGTTTCTTTGGTGAAGAAATCAGATATCCAACCATCCCCCATTCCCGGACCAAATTTCCACGGGTTCTGTTCAATGTTAACCAGATTATCAGACGACGCCATTCTTAGATCCTTTGTAGAGAAAAAAAAAATCCAAAATTCGCAGAAAAAATTTGATCAGATGAATCAAAAAGAATAACAATCAATCCAAACTAGCTCATCACATGCAGCCAAAATATAACAAAAGGGTAGAATATTAAAATGTTTCTGGGATAAACACAGTTTGTAGAGTGGAGGTAATGGAGAATGGGAAATGGAAGAGAAAAGTGAAGATGACGAGGGGATGAGGAGGGGATATATAAGGCGGTGGAGGGGTGGAAGAAACCGCGTTCCTCGGGACACGCGGCAGGGTTAGTGTCCGAATATTTTTAAACCATAGTTTGTTTACGCACCTTTGCCTTTTATTAACAATTAACTGTTGTGTGATAAGGAGATAAATATCTACTTTAAAAACCTTTATTTGTGTAAATAATATTGTTTTAATTAAGTGACAGTCAAGCGTAATATAGCCTCCGTTTGATTTTCATTATTAAAGAAAAATAATATTTTAAATAGTAATTTTCAGGAAATTGTATGATTAAAAAATAGTAAAAAAATTAAATTTACGTCTAAAATATTTTATTGTGTGAATGTATAATTGAAAATAAATATATAATTTTTTTTTTTAAATAATGACTATCAAACTGGGACATAAGCTCGTGTTCTATCAACATGTAAGTGCGAGTCCCAACTCCCAAGTAGATCCTATTGTCGCGCTGTAACTTTTGAAACCGGAACAATGAGAAGAAACAGAGCAGCCTGAAAATAGCATAGTCCAAGGAAGGCAAAGGAATGTTTTGTCAAAAGCAAAGTGTATTCGTAATAACATCGTCTTTTAGGAAAAATAAATACTTCTTAACATACAAAGAAATTAGGCCCTCTTTGAGCCCCATTATAATTATTTTTTTTAAGAAAAAAACATAATTTGTAATAATAATTCTTAGAAGAATGTATGATTGAAAAAGAAAACACCGGTACTCATTAGATCATTTATGAGGAGATAAATATCTACTTTAAAAACCTTTATTTGTGTAAATTATATTGTTTTAATTAAGTGATAGTGAAGCCGTAATATAGCCTCCGTTTGATTTTTATTATTAAAGAAAAATAATATTTTAAATAGTGATTTTTATGAGATTGTGTGATTAAAAAATGGTAAAAAAATTAAATTTACGTTCAAAATATTTTATTGTATGAATATATAAATTTTTTTTTTTAAATAATGACCATCAAACAGGAACATAAGCTTGTGTTTCTATCTACATGTAAGTGCGAGTCCCAAGTAGATTCTATTGTCGCACTGTAACTTTTGAAACCGGAACAATGAGAAGAAACTGAGCAGCCTGAAAATAGCATAGTCCAAGGAAGGCAAAGAAATGTTTTATCAAAAGCAAAGTGTACTCGTAATAACTTCGTCTTTTAGGAAAAATAAATACTTCTTAAAATATAAAAAAATTAGGGAAAAATAATAAGCATGTTACATAAACGGCTCAATGACAGGTTAAAAATGGGAGAACACGTATCGAAACATGATCGGTGAGTTTGAAAAAAAAAAAAATACACAATCATTATCCGTCACACTATCTTGTCATTTTTATCCTTATCCTTGAGTCCGTCCAATGAGCATTATTCTAAAATAATAATCCCTATATGGCTATAGGGTGGGGCAAATGAATTGACCGTTGTCTCGCTGGGTTATCGTCCATCATTTTTGCGCGTGGGTCCAAAGAATCCTTTTCAATTAAACGGTGATTATTGTTTATTATTATTTGCGCGCTTTTGCCGCCTTGCGCAATCTCAATTTACTAATTATAAAATCATAATAAGTCCTACAGCTCCATTCTTTTAAATTTTATTTTTACACGTGAATCTAATTTTTTTTTTTTTTTTTTTTTAACCTTTTAACCACACGTTTTTTTAAAAAATAACTACTAAAAAGTTTATTTTTTCAACCTTATGAGGCTAGACTTCATTTTTTTCACTAATGCATTTTTTAAAATTCATTTTTAATTACATATTCTTTGATAAAATAATGTTAGACGTCAAAACATATTTTCTCCCAGAATCTTATTTTAATGGAGTCCAAACGACAAACAGGAGTTAAATTATTTATAAAAATGAAAAGAATAATGTTATATGTGCCCAAGCAAATGGCAATGGACCCCCTAATCTATTGTCTAGTACATTTATGCTCAAGTTTCAACTCCATTTTTTAATTTTTTTAAAATTTAATTTTAACCATACATTCTCCCAAAAAGTAATTTTACACATCAAAAAACAATCTACTTTTTTACCCCCAATTTTTTTTTTTCAAAAAATCTCTATTACAAAATCAATCTTTCAAAAAAAAAAAAAAAAAAA